TCTACCTTACCAGGCATCTTTGTCATCGGGTTCAGCTATCCAGTGGTCCCCAAGGGCAAGGCCCGGATCCGGGTGCAGATCTCAGCAGTGCACAGTGAGGAGGACATCGACCGCTGTGTGGAGGCCTTCGTGGAGGTGGGGCGGCTGCATGGGGCACTACCCTGACCTGGCTGGTGACAAGCAGAGCCAAGGTCCCCCTCCCTCCACATTGACAAAAGGGCCCTTTTGTCAGCCCAGGCCAGAGACTCTGAGCCCTGTCAAAGTCCTGGGGCTGGGCTGGGGCAAGGCCTGTGTTTGTGGTTGAGAGTGCCAAGCAATAGATGTGGAAACGGGCTGACATGTTGGTGTGCTTTATTCTCTCCAGGCAGGCCCAGTCCTGTGACCAGTTGAAGAATCAGGCAGGAGCTGGGGCTCTGAGGGCAGGCTCCTGAGTAGATCAGAGATGACCACCTACCCCAGGTTAAGATGAGACCCACGCGGTGGGGATAATGTAGGCAGGGGCCCCCCATGTGGCACAACTGGATTCTGTGCTGCTAGAGAGGATCAGCTACGCACCAGCCCTGCAGGCCCTCTCCCACCCAACCCACCCCACTTACTCTTCAGCCTCTGGAGAACACCTTGCTTTCTGCTCCCCATCCAGAGGATGGCTTACAGCTGCCCAGATAAGGAGGGGCTGGGCACCCAAACCCATGTGTGGATGGAGAGGCAGAGGAGTCAGGCCCCAAAGGAAAGAACGTAGGTCGCTATTGGAAAGGCCCCTGACAGTCTGGAACCATGTATTCTAGCCCACTTTGCCCCTGACTCTGTGGCCTTGGGCAGGCCCCTTCACCTGTGTGTGCCTCAGTTTCCCGCACCGTACCAAGAGTGGATGTTACATTGGTAACTGGGGTCCTTTCGGCTCATTGCAAGGCCGACTGGCCTGCTGATCAGCCGCCAGGGGGCGCCGCGAGCTCTCAGGCTCCGGCTGCTATCGCGGCGTCCGCTCCAGAATCCAGGTCTTGGAGTCAGCTAGGCAGCCGGCCCGCAAGGCTCTCGGGAGAGCTGATTTGCTGCTGCCAAGGCCCCATCCACACTTGTCCCCAGCAAGGGCTCGCTGCTCCCCTAGTGGACACGATGACAGCCCCCTTCCCACAGTCGCTGTCCCTGGTCCTTGTCTCTTCATTGTCCTCCCCACTCAGCTTTATGGGCCCGGGGCCGGGGGCCAGGCGGGATAGGTTCTGATTCACCGCAGCTCCCCCCTCAGCGTGGCATGGCCTCGGGGAGCTCGTACCTCGCTGGAGGTAGGGCAGGGAGGATGAAAGGGCCCTTCCTTGTTCACAACAGGGAACTAGGACCCCCTCGACCCCCCAGCCCTGCCCTTAGTCTGGATGTCCGGATGGACGGTCTGGGAGAGCTGCAGGGATCCTAACTCTGGGATTCTGGGAATCCTAGCTTGTGGTCTGGAGGAGCTTGAGGCTGGGGTCCAGGACCTCCAGGTGCTGGGAGATGGCAGCCCAGGGAAGAGGACTGCCTTGGCCACAGCAGCGGCGCGAATACTTGCGAGACGCCGCCACGCGGGGTAGTGTACCTGGCGCAGGTGCACTGCTGCAGCAGCGAGTGCATACGGCCTGGCACCAGCCCCGGGCCCAGCCAGCAGCCCGACGTGCGCGATCTGTGTAGGCCGGCGGGTTACACGGGGTGGCCACAAGCAGCCACCGGGCAACGCATTACAGCAGTAGCTGTGGCCTGTCCGGCGGGGCCAGAAAGCCGGGCCCAGGTCTACCCGCCCGTGGCTCAGAGCACGCGCCGGCCCTTCCCGTGGCTCCCGCGCGCCGCGGCTGGCGTTGCGCCCCCCGGCGGCCGGCGTAGGCAGCTGCATTGCCGCGGTAGCGCGCCACGCCGTCGGTCAGCTCGCGGCTCGGCGTGCGGCGCTGCACCGGCTCCCATCCGCCGGCATCCAGAAGGGCCGGTAGGAAGCGGCAGCAGGCGCAGCGGTAGTTCTGGGCGCACGTGCTGGGATTGTACGCGTACTGGTAGTGGCCCGACGTCCGCGACAGCCTTAGAGCCGTGCAGGACAGGAGGGCCGGCCACGGATCAGCTGCACCTCCACCTCCAGAGACCGCTCCCACCGCGCGCGGTCCACGTCCTCTGCGCCGGGCTCCGGGTTCAAGGCTGCGGCCTCCTGGAGCAAGAGGAAGACGTGGCGCCAGGGACGCGCTGGGGCTCGGGCCTAGGCCTTGACAGCGCGTTCTTCCCGCCTGCCCCACGCTGGTCCTCTGTGGTTGTCTCGGTCCTCCCGCCCTCCCTCCTTCCCTCTGTCGTTATCAGCGGCTCAGCCTTGCCCTGCTTCAAGCTCTTGCCCTAGTTCTGTAGCAGCGCATCCGGAGCCTTGTCCTGGGCCAGGCGGAGCCTTTTGGGCTGGAGGCTTCCAAAAGGAGAGAGGATAGTGTGTCAGGGATCTCAGGGACTTTCAGAATTCAGGGTGGTTGTAGACGTTTGACAGTCAAGGATTCTAAAACCCCAGTGCACTGGAGCTAGAATCCTACAATTCTGCACTTCACCTTCTACCATTCTAATTCCTTAATTCAATTCTGATAGCTCTGAATTCAGGACAGTCTAGGTATGATTCCTGATATCTTCTGTTTAGTGAATTTTTTTTTTTAAGATTTTATTTATTTGTCAGAAAGAGGGCACAAGCAGGGGGAGCGGCAGGCAGAGGGAGAAGCAGGCTCCCCGCTGAGCAGGGAGGACCCGGGGCTCCATCCCAGGACCCCCGGATCATGACCTGAGCTGAAGGCAGACGCTTAACTGACTGAGCCACCCAGGCGTCCCTGTTTAGTGAATATTTCCAAAAATTTGGGGATGCTCTGCATCTGGAGCAAGTGGCATCAGGCTTTCAAGAAATACCTCTGAGCACTCAGGAAAATCCCAGCGGTCTGGGAAGAGCTAGTCCTGGGGAGTCTCTTCCCCAGCTCCTTGGGCCTTGAATGCAAGTCCTGGCTCTATCAGTGTCCCCTCAAACTATTTTCTCCCCTTTCACAGACTTTCTATTAACATTCCCCCCAACCTCCCAGCTTCTAGAAAGACCACATGTAGTCCCTACCATCTCTTCTCTCCCTAAACTCATTGCAGACTCTTGCCTCCACTACACTTGTTCAGTTTATGAACAACCTCACTATTATGAAATCCAGGGTACCTCACTCCCCCCCATCCCCGACTAGTCTTTCTAACCCTCTGGAAGCATTTGGCCATGTGGCCCACTTCTCCAAGAGTTCCAGGCTAGAACCCCATGCGTGACTGAATCATACAGCCACTCACCAAGACCGATTGATTAACCTCTGGCTTTTGCCGGAACAAGAGGCTCCTAACGGGTCAATCATTAAATCACTCCTCTTCTCTCCATCCTTTTCACCCCAGGCCAAAATAAACCAACTACAAACTAAATGGGCAGACCGTGGCCCTGCTCTAAAACTTTCACTAGTTCCCCATTGCCCTCAGGCTAAAGCCAAACTCTTTGGATGGCACAAAAACCCTCCATCTCCAGCCAGACTGAACCTCTGGAACAAGCTTAGGAAATTTAATGGGCCCCAGAATTCTCAGGGACTGGGGGAGGAGTCCTATCTGGTCTCCAAAAAAGAGACTCATATTCTGGTTTCGTAGCCTAGGACACCCCATTCAAGATGAGGAATCCTTTCTGAGCTTGGACTAGAGCCCTACTTGGAGCAGAGAAAGGAAAGATGGGGAGTGAATCATTAGGTGGGAGGTGGGAGTGCCAGGAATGGGCTGGGCCCTGGGCATGGAGGGGTTAACTCTAAAGCGAATCTCAGAGAGCGAGATCAATGGGTTACTCGCTGCAGAAAGAGGCAGAAGCAACGCAGGGAGGCAGAAAAGAACCAGGCAGAAAAGCATGCCACCCGGGGGAAATCAGGGACCAAGGAGGAGGTGGCCAGTGGCTACTCCGGAGGGAGCGCTCAAGTCTGGCTCAGCAGAGGAGGTGCCTTAAAGGAGAAGAGGGAGAAGCAGGAGGAAGCCCTGCACCTTCAGGGAGGCACCAAGGGGCAGCCACTGAACCAAGAGGCATCCTCAGTCTGGCCGGTTCACCCAGGATCAAGCGGGGCCTGGTGCCCAGAGTTGAGGTGGGTGTTGCCCTTCCTGAGCTTCAGGGGGCTTGCTGCATGCTGGGGTTGGGGGTGCAGATATTGCCTTTCTTCCATCCACCCTGCCTGCCCACCCCCATGCCCTTCATGTGTCAGAGGTTCCAGGCATACAGGGGGATCCACAGGTAGTAGCCCATATGGGCGATGGGTGGAGCAAGGGTGAGAGTGGGCCCAGCGGGCATAAATGCACACACACATACTTGCACATGGTCAGAAGCACCACCTGTTACAGGCTGTCAGCCGAGCACTCCAGCCTGGGAGTCAGGGTACCAGGGTGGCAACAGCCCCAGGTCTGCCACTCAAAAGTGTGATATTAGCCGCCCATGTCCCCTCTCTGAGCCTCAGTTTCCTCTTGTGCGAAAAGGGGCCAGTGACCTCTATGGTTTTCCCAGCTGTGCCACTGTGTGGGGCTTTCCCTAAACTGGACTTTAAGATGACTCAGGGATATCACCCGGGTTTCGCTGACTTTGACCCATGTCCCAGACTCTTCCCTGAGCTTCAAACCCCCTTGGAGAAGTAAGGTGGATCTATCAGCAACTTGGGTTGCGCTTGCCCCTCCCCCATCTGCCATGTCCTCACCCCATTCTGCCGGGAGGTGTCCATCACCTAATCATCTTTCATGGGGGTGTTCCCTAGGAAACTGAGAAACCCACCTCCAACTTGTATGCGATTGTGCCAGGCTTACACAAGTGGATCTCAGGGATAACTTTTGGCTGTCTCCCCACTCCCGCCTCCATCCCCCATGAGCTCCCTGCCCAGGAGACCTGGCCAGGCCCAGGCTAGGGGCCTGGATCGAGACCCTTGGTTCAAGTAACCAGAGCCGGGGGCTCCTGTCTGAGGACTCCAGCTTCTTTTCCTCAGGTGCCTATTGGATGGGGAGATGGCTGATGCGCAGAACATCTCGCTAGACAGCCCCGGGAGCGTGGGGGCTGTGGCAGTGCCTGTGGTGTTCGCCCTCATCTTCCTACTGGGCACAGTGGGCAATGGGCTGGTGCTGGCCGTGCTGTTGCAGCCCAGCCCCAGTGCCTGGCAGGAGCCGGGCAGCACTACGGATCTATTCATCCTCAACCTAGCGGTGGCCGACCTCTGCTTCATCCTGTGCTGCGTGCCCTTCCAGGCCGCCATCTACACACTGGACGCCTGGCTCTTTGGGGCCCTCGTTTGTAAGGCTGTGCACCTGCTCATCTACCTCACCATGTACGCCAGCAGCTTCACACTGGCCGCCGTCTCGGTGGACAGGTGCGCTGTGCCTGGGACCTGGCTGGGTCTGGGCTGGGGAGGGAAGACCTGAACAGATTCCTCAGGAAGGGGGGGGGGACCAAGGAGGGAGATGCGAGGGAGAGAAGGAACCGCTCTCCCGCCGGCCACCACCAGCCAGTCTCAGAGCGTGCTCCAGGGGACCATCCTGCCCTCCCCCCAACTCCACTGTGAGCTGTCTTAGGTAGTAGGTGCTCCGTAAGTGTGACACGAATGGCAGAAAGAACACATCAATGAAATCATCAGTTATTTTATTACCGCCCACACCCAGCCCAGGCTGTGGTCATACCTGTGTTCGGCGTTCCAAACGTGGGGTCCAATCTAGGCTCCCTCTCTAGCTGATGACCTTGGGCAAGTCCCTTCCCTCCAAGCCTCGAACCCAGCCTTGCTAGCTGCCGGGCACTGCTCTAAGCGCTTGGCGGGTTACTCGCCCTTCACCCGCGCCGCCACCCCGCGAGGCAGGTCGCCAGACGCGGAGGGCCAGGCCGCGCGGGCCCGCAGGTGCCGGCGCAGCGTCCACGCGGGGGGCGGGAGGCGCGAGGCGCGAGGCGCGAGGCGCGGGGGCCGGTCGCCCGGCCTCCCGCCCGCCGCGCTGACCCGGCGCCCGCCCGCAGGTACCTGGCCGTGAGGCACCCGCTGCGCTCGCGGGCCCTGCGCACGCCGCGCAACGCCCGCGCCGCCGTGGGCCTCGTCTGGCTGCTGGCGGCGCTCTTCTCGGCGCCCTACCTCAGCTACTACGGCACGGTGCGCTACGGCGCGCTCGAGCTCTGCGTGCCCGCCTGGGAGGACGCGCGCCGGCGCGCCCTCGACGTGGCCACCTTCGCCGCCGGCTACCTGCTGCCCGTGGCCGTGGTGAGCCTGGCCTACGCGCGCACGCTGCGCTTCCTGTGGGCCGCCGTGGGCCCCGCGGGCGCGGCGGCGGCCGAGGCCCGGCGCAGAGCCACGGGCCGCGCGGGGCGCGCCATGCTGGCGGTGGCCGCGCTCTACGCCCTCTGCTGGGGCCCGCACCACGCGCTCATCCTCTGCTTCTGGTTCGGCCGCTTCGCCTTCAGCCCGGCCACCTACGCCTGCCGCCTGGCCTCGCACTGCCTCGCCTACGCCAACTCCTGCCTCAACCCGCTCGTCTACGCGCTCGCCTCGCGCCACTTCCGCGCGCGCTTCCGCCGCCTGTGGCCCTGCGGCCGCCGCCGCCGCCACCACC